AATTATTATATAATTATTGTTCGTAGTAGTTAATATTCAATCACTATAACGATACTTCTAGGAAGCTTGCTGCTGGAGTTGTGTTGCATGCCGCGAGGATGCTTACGTATTCAACGACACATGTCGTAGTTGCGGTCCAGGATACGCTCCGGATGAAACAATGACAAATTGTGTTAAACTTACAGCAGAAGTGATTCCATGGACCAGTCCATGGGCGTTGGTGCCATTAATATTCGCCTCCATCGGCATACTCAGTACTTTGTTCACAACAGTGGTTTTCATTCGGTATGTTCACATTCTTGACGACAGATTTTTGCAATTTTTTCACCCAGCAATATTTTCAGTTGAAAAATTGAAACGGTCTTATATAGATCTAATTTTTTTTTAATTTTCTTTGGAAATGCAAAAAGTGTCAGATACAGAGCCTTGGTGAAAAATATTAGGCACCTCGTAAAATAGGAATTATTTAAAAATATTTTTGTATTAGGAGGAAATTGGACTATTGAAATGTGCAAACAATCTTCTTTTTTTCTGATTTTGTTAATATTTCGTTTGAACTGTCACAGCAATTTCTTTCTAATTTTTACCTTCTTTTTAAAAAAAGGAAATGATTTATGAAAGATTAAGATTAAATGTATCATGGTTTATGAAGTAATTTGATTAATTAGTATTTCTGAATGAATTGTATTCCAGGTTTAACCGTACACCAGTAATCATGGCATCAGGACGTGAGTTGTGTTACGTGTTGTTAGTAGGAATTCTATCCTGTTATGGTATGAGTTTTGTAATATTAAGCAAACCAACTACATGGAATTGCACGTATTTGAGAATCGGTTTGGGCTTATGCCTAAGCATTTGTTATAGCGCGATACTGACTAAAACAAATCGGATATCACGTATCTTCAATCAAGGAACGAAGAGTATAAAGAGACCTTCTTACACGTCGCCGAAAAGTCAAGTGGTAATTGCTATCGGTGAGTTTACAATTTTCAAAGGCATGCGTATACATTTCCACATCAAACTTTCCACCTCCTCGCACAATTATCTATTAAACTAATCATTATTGTCAAAAAATACTCGGAGCCAAAACTAAAATGGGCGAAAAATTACTTCACACGAAATTCTCAAGTAATTAGATCATGCCATAAATTGAGAAAAATATGGGAAAAATTTGTGGAATGAGAAGGAGCTTTCGTTTTTTTTTATAAAATTTAAAGGTCCCTTGGAAATATTGACCTAAATTATAAAATTCGACAGGAACTTATGGAATGACCGAAATACTCTTCTTTCGCACCTCTATCGCAACTCTCGTTCTAGACCAAACTCGCACAGACACTCTATCACCCTCGCATTATCATAATAACGTAAACTGTCGATCTTGATACCGTATTATGTAATTCCCGTTTTTATAGGGATCACTGCAGTGCAGTTAGTTGGCGCTATCGTCTGGCTAATTATCGAACCACCGGACACCACGGAAATTCATCCGTACCCTCTATCAGCAGTGCTCACATGTCGCGTTTCCACATTTTCTCTCATGATGTCTCTTGTGTACAATATGTTCCTAATACTCATGTGTACCCTGTACGCGTTCAAGACGCGTAAAATACCGGAGAACTTCAACGAGGCGAAATACATCGGTTTTACAATGTATTCAACCTGCATCGTATGGTTAGCATTCGTGCCCATCTACTTTGGCTCGAACAATGATTATAAGGTCGGTATTAGAAGGTACAGAAGAATATAACGCGTATTCAACTGAACTGTCGCTAGTTCATTTTGTTTTAAATTTCAAGATTGTAAATTATTACGTGCGATCATTCTAAAGATTTTTCAAGTCATCCCTTAGAGAGATTTACAAAAGAGACCTTGCAATTGGTCCCACGAAAATTTTTATAATACGAGTTACTACTGTTTCGTTTCGTTCTTTAATCCTGAGATAAGCAACAAATGAAAGTAAAATTGCAGGTACAAATAGCAAGTATGTGCATGTGCATCAACATCTCTGCGTCAGTAGCCCTTGGATGCCTCTTTACGCCAAAGGTATATTTGGTACTTTTTCAACCCTACAAGAATGTTCGACTTGGACACGCTAATGTGAGTAATTTAAAATTTTCTAAAAATAATTTATACCTTAAAAAACAAATGGTGTATCAGGTGTAAATTTACGCCTGAAAATTATCTCGTGTTACGCGCTGGAGAAGCATTTTGCGATCAACTCGTCATTTATTAACCAATACTTAGAACACAATAATTTATTTATCGAGGGATCGTTCATTTTTAATTGCACTGTTCTGCCTGTATTGAACGTAAAATACATCATATTCACATTAGCAAGAACGAGAAGAAAGTAATTAGTTACAATTCCGACTCATTTTTAATTACAAACTAGAGAGATTCAATTTCTCTTTCAGAGGGAAACACAGTTAAGAGGTCAAATGGTTAAAGATAACAAAGCAAATATTTCTTATTGGACATTTTGGATATTTTTAATCTTTCCGAATCTGAATAACGTAGAATTGGTGCAAGTATACAAGGTTTAAAGAGAGAACACTTTTCGCGGACTGTTTTTCAGACGGGTGCACTTCAAAGTGGTAATCGTGCAACATACAGTATGCGATTCTCTTGTGGTCGTAGTCAAACGATGCAGAGCATGACTTCATGTTCTCGGAGCAGTCCGCCGGCATCACGTCCAGATCAGGACGAGACGAAGCATGCCAACGGTGAGACACAAGCACTGGCGAGCCCGTCTGTCGAGGAGACCTCGGTTAGCTAGGTCCCTCTCATGCACCTCCCTCCCTGTCTAGAATGTCAGAGGAAAATTCGCGAGACCACGGTGGAGGTATATAACAAAGACGAAGATGACCGCAAGCTCTCTACTGTCCAGGAGATATTAGAATCGAGGGACATTTCCAGTCCTTCGTTGTTCAATAAGAACTGCCGAAATCTAAACCAGAAGTCGATTTCCAGCGATTCTGATCAGGTGATCGATGTTTCATTAAACTTCATTATTTCACATTCTTCGCGCGAACTTTTCAACGAAGACTGACACGAACGGTAAACGGTCCCTTATTTTCAACGGATATATCAACTTTTGACGGAGTTACGATTATTTCAATTTGGACGACGAAATTCGACAGAATTTTTCCAAACGATCTAAAATGTGCGAGGAATGAATTGACCTAATTTGCATTTGTGAATTTCTATTTTTGTTTCGAGTCGAGTGATCCAGCGTGTAAGAATCACATGGGAACAATCAGTTGCATTTCCGATAAACCGAAGTCTCATAAGACAGAGGCTAACGTCTTTTCGAGCGAAGATCAAACTTTCCATGTCTACAGCGACTCACCGCCTACCTTCTCCGATTTTTCATCGTAAACGGCGATACCTAAACGAGGTGAAGGTGAACAAAAACTGCCATTTTCAACACTTGAACGTAATTTAAACGGTGCTAAGACATCTTTTTAGCCTCGCATTTTAGCCTCCGTATAAGGACAGATTAGGTATACAATGAAACACACACACATATGTATATACATATTGTATATATGATATACATATAAAATTTATGTAATATACAGGGTGGGACACTTAAAACAGGTCACCTAAACATCTCTTTTAATTACAGTGATACGAGAAAATTTTTATTCGCGATTTCAATGATTTCAAAGAGTAAACAAGAAGAAAAATGCCATCTTTTGCGTTTTCTTCAAAATCACCTATGTTTTTTTGCAAAAATATATTAATTTCTTTCCACTTTTCTCAAAAACGATTTCAAAGATTAATCAATGCCATTTTTAGTGTGTTTTCTCCAAAGCCACCCAGCTTTTTTTACAAAAATGTATTTATTTTTTTCAATTTTTCTCAAAATGACTGTCATCTTTTGCGTTTTCTTCAAAATCACCTATGTTTTTTTGCAAAAATATATTTATTTTTTTCCACTTTTCTCAAAATGACTTTAGACTCCAAAATTTTAAATCAAACGTGAAACTTCTTTTCGATTTTGTACCATTTCTTCCATCAGAAATTTCTTCTTCCACTTTATTCACCCTTCGAAGCCATTTAAATTGCACATAAAAATTTTCTCGTAAATACCATCATATCTGGAGAAGGTAATTAGATAATTCGTTTCACATAGCTCACTCTGCATATATGTAACAATTTACAGATCAAACACCTACGAAATGAAATAACTTTTAAGTAATAACAATTTCCATTTAGGTTGTACAACGTTGTTTTTCTCATCGACATTCCTGTAAGTAGATTGTTTTAAGAAAGTTTATCAGCTCGCAGTATTAAACTTAGAACAACATTTATATTAGCATCGATGAGAATGAACTAAGTAAGTAATATATATTTTGTACGATACGAATAGTTCGCGTTACGTTGCTCGATGAACAAAGATGAGATACATTCTTGATTCGTTGGATCATTTCACGTTTCTTCGAAATACAACGATATTTCGCGTAGACAAAATTGCAACATTCGATCGATAATCATGATACATTGTACAGTGTATTTATACTTGTTCTACAGGGTGTCTGTTTTATCTCAATACAGTGAAATATCATTTAAAGAAGTGATGTTATGAAAAAAATGTTTTAACAAAAGTTGTTTGATATGGAGGGAGACGATATGTGGTGTAAATACTTTTTGGTCCCTGGTATTATGGGGGAGATTTCAAAGTCAATTTAATTTTTTTAAATGGAATGCGATATTTTTTTATACATAATATGATAATGTATGTTAAGACGAGTTCAACGAGTACAATAACGAGTACAAGTGACGTCACGTCTCACGTCTCATATCATGTCACGTCGCGTCGCGTCTCACGTCTCACGTCATGTCACGTCACGCGCGTCACTTCTCACGTCACGTGTCACGTCTCACGTCTCACGTGTCCCCTCCACATGTCGTCCATTATTGTACTCGTTGAACTCGTCTTAACATACACTATCATATTATGTATAAAAAAATATCGCATTCCATTTAAAAAAACTAAACTGACTTTGTACAAAAGAAATATTTACAGCACATAACGTCCCCCTCCATACCAAACAACTTTTGTTAAAACATTTTTTTCGTAACATCACTTCTTTAAAAGATATTTCACTGTATTGAGATAAAACAGACACCCTGTATATATCATGAGAATGTACACTTGGGGAATTTATACTTGTCCTGTAATATCACGAGTATAACGAGATAATCTATATATGAGTATAAATATTTCTTAATTTACGAAGGCGAGAGTTTTAATTAAAATTTTGATAAGAAGGTATTTTATGGAAATTTTTGTATATTTTACTGTTGATATTTACAATTATATTGTTCGAAGTTTTGGAAAATACAAAATCGTAGATATATCTGTTACCAATTTCGCTTTCCATGGAATGTTATCTAAGTACGTAATTGAATCTACCTTTTGAGTTGTCCTAAAAGGTATACTCGGTGGAAGAAATCTAGCGAATAAGGCTGTATAGAAAAATTCTTTATCTTCGAGGATACCTAATAATTTTTCATTTTATTTCAGTGTCAGACACACACATACATACGTATATTTATAGATTTTTGTGCCAATTAAATCGATCCAGCAATTATTTAAAATTTCAAAATTCTTCTTCTTTGTAAGATCAACTCAAACACCAAAATGTAGTAATACACTGTTGCTTGTTTAAAAAACATAAAAATAACAGAAACACTTTGTCTGTTATTGTACAATATGTAAATGTAGTTGTACTTGAAATAAGTACCATTCTTTAAAGAGGATTTGAGATGCACTATGTGTTCAGAAAATTGCAAAAAATTAAGAACATCGATTAAATCGCTACAGCATGAAACAAGTCGACTTAAAAAGTTGTGCTGGTAAAAAATTACTTCGAACTGCAGCAAAATTAATTTGAATACTCATGATGCATTTTACGAAATCAAGAAGGAAATTACCATTTAAGAGATAAATCAAACGTTCTCCATTACACGTACCCCTTTATAGTAATAAAAGTAAGAGTCACATATGCTAAGGGCTCTATTTTTATTTGTTACAAAATTATAACAGAGAAAGATAGTAGACAAGCATATCCTTTTCTTGTAATTAGCGGTTTCAGTTTTACCTTTCTTATTTTTCATCTTTCTTTCTGTTTTCTATTACATTTGACTTTCATCGTTTAAACTGGTCATTTTCCCTTTTTAACACTAGAAGGAAGTTTAAAAAATCAAGTAAATTTTTGATACTGATAAGTATTATCTTTTGCAGCTTTCTGACTTTGTTTTCAGCATCTCGACTTCTATTTTGCATCGATGAGACAAATTTTTTGATCACCTTTTAAGTCTCGAAAAATTCATTTTTGGAAAGTTTTACTAGTGTTAAACATTATCGTTTGTCACTGTATGTGTGACTATGTTTTCTTATATCTTCACTCATATTTTTTCCTTGATTTTTTCCCATAATTCTAGAACACTTACAGCTCTAGTATATTTCAAACGTCATGTAACTATAAACTCTAAGAGATTTAAATCTGACAATCAGGATCACCATACGTGTTCATTCCATCCGATTCATTTGAGGGAATCGCAACAGTCGCACACGACTGTTATCCCTTTCTCGAACTGTGATGGTGACGTATATTATTAAAAACATCATTTTTCTTGTTATCATAGAACGAACGTTTTCTATTTGACACGAACTTCTTCGAGTTATCAATTTGAACAGCATTTACGAAAAAAAAAAAAAAAAATATATACGCAATTAGAGGAGAAAGAAATCAAATCTTACGTTTATAACTTTATAACAAATAAAAATAGACCCGTAATATTTGTAATGTATCTGAAATTTTTTCATTTAAGATAATTCAGTAAAGAATCATTCTAACAATAAGATGGATTAGTTAACTGAAAAATCCATTGCTTTTCCTTTTGGTGCGCCCTGAATTGTTTATTTATGATACATTAAAGTAGATTCTTCTTCGAGGGTTAATTATTTTATTCGTCGTGGTATACAGAATTTAAAAAAAAGAAAATGTAAGAACATATAAAAATTATTAATATCGAGTTATCTAATATCACAACTACTTATTTCTTCTTTTCCTTAGTCGTTTATGTCACAGAATTTTGAATTATTGCCTATGCATAATTTTTATACAAATAAAACACTGTTTTACTATGTTTAACGAACGCGAATTCGCTGATTTAACTATACATGCGGTTTTTTGTGTAAGTTTTAACATCTTTCACACAGCTTTGAATACTTTTTACTTTTTCTTTTAACTCGATTCACGTGACAGTAAGATTTCCGAATTTATTGCAAAACTTAAGGTTTATAAATTATTATAGCATTGACGTGCATTCTAAGTGAATTTAAGTGAAACCTCTGTTAACGAAAATTTCTAAGTAAAAAATACTCTATATATATCGAAATACGATCTGATTTATTCCAAAGATTGTCAAGTATTTCACCATGGGTCGTTACTTTGCTACTTTTAATAGTATACACGCACCTATTCTATAAATTACAATTAATAGTGTCAATTATTTGTATAATACTAATTTTAACGAAAAATTCATTCGAATAAAAGTAAGTAAAAAAAAAAAGAAATTGACAACACTCCGTTGATAAACTAAATACGCAATGAACTCTGCCCCGATTTTTGCTTACGTGCAAATACGAACGATCGTATTGCAAAATTCGAAGTTTTACGTTTTCACAGTAGACGTAGCAAAGTTAAGAACCAAATCTTGCTATTACGATAAAAAAAAAAAGAAAAGAAAAAAAAACAATAGTCGAAGTAAAATGTCCAATACTAATAGCGAGTAAATATAATAGTAAGCGATGAGAATAGTGAGTAACAACGTAGGATGTGTACTTTTACAAATACACAGTATAATTTGCAATATAACTGCCGACGATTACAAACTTAAATATGTAGCTGTAAGAGAGAAAAAAATGAAAATTAGATTGTAAATTCGTGAGTGCGTGTATATGTAATTTTAACAAAACATGTGCCAATGTTATGTGAGATTGCGGCAATAAATTATTCGACGAGGGGCTGTCAATCAAACAGATCCTTACACGTTCCCATTTAAATATTTATATGAAATATTGCATTGTTGGTACTAATTTCATAAATATTTATTTATAACCTATTAAACTATTGAAATTTGTAGTATTAAAACTATGAAATACTTGGAAAAGTTGACTGAAAAACTGAATCGTGCGTTCAAAAATTTCAACAGAAACATAACGTGACATCTCAAGTGTACTCGAGATATATTTAGTAAAATTATTCATCATACTCGACGTGTCTTGTAAATATTATAATACTTGTGAAAACATCTCCATAGAACGTACGTTTGATTTCAATAATTAACTCCAATGTTTTGCAGTAATTAATAAAAAAATATATATATATATAAAATGGAACTTCCTATGAATAACTCAGTATAGTTATATTTTACAATAGTATGACTGCTGAAATTATTATTGGTAATTTAATTGAATTAACTGTTACATTGATTCATTTTTCAAATCTTGATATTATCCAATGTTTTTCTGTTTGTTAACGAGTCGCATCATAGTACTAACAATAAGCGAAGGATTGTTGTCGCAGAAGCGTAGACAACGAAAAATATAGACTTGATAAAGAATTTTTTCTCTTTCGAGACAATTGATCAAATTTTGGACGAAGGTAGCGTTTATAAGGTGTAAGGGATAATTGGTAAGATTGATAATTGATACAATTGTAACACGGTTACGGAAAATAGAAGTTATATCAATCGTTGTTTAGGGTGCATTAATAGATAAAGAATTGATCTACTTCTCAATGTGCTTTGAAATTTATTAAAATTGTAACAGCTATTAGATATATTTGTAATTAGATAGTTCTAATTGAAGCGCGGCTAATAATGGTCTAACAGTGAACGTAAATGGTGATTTCATTGGTAATTTCGTGTAGAAAACAAGAGTCAATTTAGTAATTATTGTACATTTTATTAAGCTCTACAATATCTACACGTATATGGTTAATATTGCGATATTAACGTGTTATGCAATTTTAAGAAAAATTTGAGTATCTACATACAATTTGTTGTAAGTTTATATGTTTAGACTGAATGTGGATGAAATGACATGTAAGAAGATAAAGAATATAAATTAATTAATAAAACAGATTACAACATTTCATTTCACATATACTGTGTGCCAAAAAAAGACATTTATCCGTTCCACTAGAAAGTTCCATAGAATAGATTTTTAGATTTTTATTTAAAATTTTTCGTTTTCTTCTTTCTTTCAATACGGTATTACGATCGATAGAGGTATTATGATTGGTCGATAAATAATTACACAATGAAACATTCTTTTCTTCAACAGTTATTTTTTATTATATTCCCTTTAGCGTGAAATATTACATCAAGTTGTGTAACAAGAAATCGATTACGATAAAACGGCTTGCACATGGAATTCAATTTGTTGTATAGACAAACGATGAATGACAAACAAATATTAAAAATAAAATAATGAATTTTTCTTTACGATCCGTTTTACAATAATTAAACATATATATATATATACACGATGTATAAAAATAAAAAAGAATAATAACGTACAACTAATTGTTATAAAATTTTTAACAAACTTGTTATTCTACGTGAGTCTGATTACACCGGAGCTATAAGACCTTTAAGGCAATCGAAAGTGTTACCGTCTGGATGTACGGTAAATATCTTCCCATCTTCTCCTCGCACACGTAAATATCCAAAATCATCGATACCTAATATTTTAGCATTTTGTGATACACCTGACGCTGATAATACTTTCACATTCACGTCGCTGTAAAAATACAAAATAAGTTTAGCAATGCCTTACACGCCAACTGAATGTTCGCAAATAATGTAATTATTCGTATAAATAGACATTCACGTCGCAGAATAATTGCACTTTATGGTGAAATATGAATTAAATAAAATAAGCCTGGGACTGAAGGCGGTTTAATCACGTAACGGCGACAATAAAAACACTTTACATCTAAATATTTCATGAAAACTATAAAGTATTATATATCTACATTTAGTAATTAAGAAACTTACTTGTGAAAAAATACATATGTAAATAATAAATAAACTATTATTGATCATTTGCAATACTATTGGGTTGAATCATAAGTTATTACCGATGCGCGTCATAAGTTACGATCATTCTTGGAAATTGCAATGAGCCTCAGCTCCTTACGACCTTTCTGTTCAGTTTCTGTCTATGTAGGAATTGAAATAAGACTCGACATTGAATAGTTGCATTTTCCAATGCGTCAAAATCGAGAACAGCTACATAGATACTCTCTCGCCTAGTCAGGGTCGAAACTTCAACGTAGTATTATACAGTGTAACACTTTACCATTACGTACCTTCCACCAAAAACACTTCCAAACACCTAATTTTCCATAGTATACACCTTTCGTTATATTTAGAACGTGAATTAAACTCTTTCCTTTCCTACTGATTCTATTGCGATTGCTAGGACTTAAGGAACCCATAACAGTGTATATCTTTGCTGTTCAAGGTATGTTGAATCCTAAAAGTTACGAGACCTATTAACAATCCTATGGTTACCAATGATAAGACAAGCACTGGTACGACCACGCAATACTTCCTAGCCACTATCGATATTACTTATACACAGAGGTTGTCCACTGCAATTAACCTCTATTCTTAGTGGCTCCTAGTATTAGCAATTGTATCCATGGTTAATCCACACTTCTGTGACTACCAACAATGTTGCTAAGTTAATTACCACCACCAAATTGTCCACACATTCATTCTGCGATTACCGATGTTAGTTATCGGGTCGTTCGTAACTGATAAATTTATCCATATACTTCGGCTTCTCAGCTGCTCAGTCGCAATTCATAATAGACGATAAAATTGACGAAAGGATTAAAATGAGCAAATGATAACAGCGTATTTGCCATGTTACGAAACAATAATAATATCACCATAGTCATAGCGGAAAAGATATGCAACGTTATCAGTGAAGGCATAGTACTTAGATATAGTTATAGATATTGCGCATAATTGGTTTAGCAAGATTCAATTTTAAGATAGCAAAGTTCAAAAACAAACACAAGCGAGGCTGTTAATAACAACACTTTGAAAGTCTTATTGTTAGTGAAGCAAATTCACGCCAAACAATTAGAGACTTAACAAACAAGATGACAATCTTCCAATCTACGGTATGTCGCCGCCTGGAAAGGCTGAGGAACTAAGTTCATTGTAAAACTTTGGTTATATCGAGAAATCAATTTTTTTTGTTTACGTCAGATCTTAACAAGCATCTAATTGTTAAGGGATTAATCTACATGGTAATAAGAAAAATATTTTCGATTAAATTATTTTGTAAATCTTATAAAAGAACTATAAAATTGGTATAAGAAAACACCAATTTCTCATATGAATCAACCCAATAATATTTACAAATAATGAATATTAAAAATTTGTTTAATTTGAAATTAGAACTTACGTGTGTACCCAATATGCATAATACGCATCTAAGAAAGCATCTACATTACCACTTTGTACGATGTTTAACCATCTTTCAATTTCATTGAATACAATCGCAAAATAGTGTTCATACGATATCATTTTTAAGTCTTTATGATACATATTGTTATACATATCAATTATCTCATTAATGCAACATGTGGGTTCGTTATTGAACAAATTCAGTCCAACCCCTAGAAATGAAAATAATTTTAATACAATAATCATTTGAAACAATACTTACACAAAGTAAGAAAACGAACAACTGCAAAAAAAGTATTGCTTTTATTAAATATAAGAACAGAAACAATGTTGATACTTGCCAACATTACAGATATTAAGTCCTGACATTACATGCGTGTTTATAATTATACCGCCAATCTTAATATTATCACCCGCATAAATATCATTAGGCCATTTTAATCTGAGATCAATTTCCTGTAATTAAGATACCTTTCATGTTAGAATTTAACATTTACGATAACGTCATTCGATAATAAATAAGGGAGTAAAATAACGAGTCTTACGTCACAACAGGTGCTCGAAGTGGTTTCCATTTGCACATATAAAAATATAATAATAAATACAAACCTCATATCCGGGCATAGTTTTAAATGCAGACACAATTGCAACGGAAACCACATGTTGCAAGATTGAAATACGATTTCCAAGTATTGTATTAGTAGGTATATGAAGTTGTAAGGTAAACATTGCGCATCCATCTGGACTGAGCCACATATTATAACTCCTTCCTTGAAGTCAACAAAGAGCACGTTTATTAAAATGTTGTTACAAATAATTATTACTATAAAATTCAATTTAATTTTGCCAATAAAATAATGTTTAAAAATGTAAATTGCCCCATTAGAAAAATCTTAATTTGCTGCTTTATTTGTAGACCTTACATAATGTTACAATAAATCATAAAAAAAGTATAAAACAAACTTTCATCGTTATTCTTAATAATGTAAAGGATACAATATTGTCGCGTTAGCTGACCGTCGTTATCTCCACTAGTTCTTGGAACTGGCGTCGTGGAGTGAGCCTCCAGCGATATTTCGTATGAGGTATCCGTATCCCACTCGTACTCAAGGGAAAAGAAACATATTCGGGATCTCCTAGAACTCTATCTTCCTTGATTGCTGGTCAGATATGGTCCCAAGCCGCAGCCAGCTACCGCGACAATGCTGTAAATATATATACATACCGCGTCCCTTAGTTTGATAACGAACAATAACAGCCAAGCCATGTTGTAATTGCAGACCATTTAGTGCATCCATTGATGATGTCATTACGTCGGCGTATATTACTAAACGTCCTAATTCTTTTGAATTTAAATTCTACGATAAAAAGATATGTACGATTAGTAGAAAACATAGCACTACTATTATAACTTTATTATTTGTGAGAATGAATAAGATAAGGAAAATATTACCTCAAAATATTCCACGGTTGAGAAATTGTCAGGACACTGATGTACCATAATGGGAAGAAACGAGCACGAAGCTGCTCGAGGAACTGTACTACTTCGACAAAATTGGATTTCCAGGTTTGACATCTTTAAAACGTCGTTTGATTGCATTGCCTCCTTCAATCTATCTAACATTTCCAGCTTCAACTATAAGAAGTGAAAAAAAATATACGGAGTGACCGATTTTAATCTACAAATGCTAATTCGCACGCTTCTTCGTACCTCATGCCTTCCCAAGAAAAAAGCTGGTGTATAATTCATGGGTGGAATCTTTCCTGAAGTGCTACGAAGTTTTACCCCGAGATGCAGTTTTAACAAATCGTTAAATATTTCTAGTCTAGTCGCGTTGCTTTCTTTTAAAGCATTAAATTTACTTTCCTCCAGTTCATATTGCATGGGATCTACCTCCAAATGTATCTGAGAAAAAACAACTTTTCCACCACTTTCTGAAAGAGTTGCAAGTAATATACTTGGTGTATGCCAGGTTTCTTCTGTTCCAAGCACTTTCAAATTAAACAAATGTGAATTTCCTTTCTTATCTTTCACGTTTACCGAAGTAGGAGGAGACACACCAGACACTCTGAAAAAGAACTTTTGAAACGTCTCGAATCTCAACAACCAAAATAACGCTATTCAACTATAACTTAGTCAGCAGCTGTAAATCTTACTTTACATCTTCATTATCCTGAGAGAATTTTGTTCTTACAGGAGATGCTTGATAACAGAAGATATGATGCATCATGCGTACATGCTTCCACTTCCCATAAGAGAAGTGAACGAGTTCATTCTCGCGCACTTCTGCCGTTTTAAACGACGGAAGTAAAATATGAATTATGTCGGAGCATAAAGCAAGAAGTTTACCACCTCGAAGGATATATTCTACGATTTGATTTCCGATTTCATTGCCAACGTTTCCACAAACAACAACTAAAGCTGCATTTTCTATCCAAGCGTCATTGCGTGCTTCTTGCGAAGACAAAGCATATATAGTGTATCTAATCAGAAAAGAAAATTTTGTGAATAATAACCAAATGCAAACAAGTGCAGCGTTATTTCAAACATCGTATTAATAGTAGTAGTAGTAAACGATTACTTTTCTTAGTTTACCGATGTAAAGTAAACATGATATTACACATTTCATCATGAATAGAATAAAACAACATGATCATACATACTTATCTGTGCCAAGAGATTCTTCTAATACACTCTTCACATTATTACGTGCAAGGAGACTATCAGAATAGATCAGAATATTGGGTGGTTTTATATCTTTATTTGGTAACTTCTTTATTATTTCCGTCATAGAACCTCTGAAATGCAAATATCAACAAAGTTTAATAAACATTAATGACTCATATCATTATGTACTATATATACATAAGTGTCATTTGAAAAGTTCTCGGAATGAAGTATAGGTAGCAGTAGGAGTGCTGCAATTGAATGACTACTATGTAGAAAATTTGAGAGAGACCAAGGGGGAATCGAACCCACGATTCACCGGCCGGCAAAAAGCCGGGACTCTACGCCCATAGCCAAGGCGCCCTCTTCATTCCCTCCATGTTCTTGCTCCCGTAATAGGTACGGAGGCCCCGATGCCGCAACTATAGCACATCAAAACGTGCTACATACTACGCAGTATTACATTTCGCGCTCTACCAAGAAACGTCCGCCAAAATAGGTTGTGTTGTTAAAATACATTTTTATCGTTATAAGTTTCTCGCGCGGAATCTAACACATTTTATTATAAAAAGGATAGTAGTGAAAATAGAATAATTTGCCACAATTTAGATAAATTTATACATCTGTGCGAATGAAAATTTGTAAAACATCATCTATCGTATAACTAATACAAATTTAAATTAATCATTTTTCCACATACCCGTATACAAAAAAAGGAAAATAATTTGTCTTAAAATCCCAATTACGCTGTTGCATCAAGACGTTACTTTACAAAACTTTACACTGGTATGTTGAATAGATAGAAATAATTTTCCTTGTGACATACATACGCAGTGTGTCTCGTTTAACTGAAAACGCAGGAATATCTCGCAGACCGTTAAAGATACGAGAAAATTGTTATTATGAAAGTTGTTACATATAGGGGAGGGGGGTCATTGTGTATTATAATCAGTTTTTTTGGGTATGAAGTTGTAGGAGATTTCACGGTCAACTTAATTTTTTTTAATGGGATACTATACATACATCTTTATTCATAATATGAGAGCGTTTGTTAAAACAAGTATGTATATACAACGATGTGCTACATAAGGTCATTCAATATATTGTACAGAATGATGTAATTCGAATCCGTAGCACGATCATATATTTGTAGATAGTACATATAAATAGGGTTCAGTTTGCCGATGACTCGCGACTCGCGTTGACCTGAATTCTTGAAATCTCACTAATTTATGACCTTCTGCGACATTCAATGACCTTATACAGCATACCGTTGTACTTGTTTTAACAAACGGTATCATATCTGACCTTGAAATCTCTTACAAGTCTAATATTACAAATTTACAATGAATTATTAAAATTATGTTTGTATAATACTCACTCTAAGGTGCTAGCAGATGTTACTTTTCTGTCCCTGGCATCATAAAATGCTTTTTGTTCAAAAAATTCCTTTATATTTTCAATACCACTGGATACTTGTTCTGTAACATTTGATACTTCTTCCAAGTTATCAAGTTTATCAAGTGATTTACTATCAGAATTTAGAATATCTTGAGATTGTATAGTATCTTTGGCAGCATCTTGTATTTCATCTGTCAATGTTGATTGATTTTCTTGTTGGGGAATGTTTACTGAAATTGGTGTACAAACTTCACTTCTAATCTCACTTTCTAAAACATACAAATTTATTTTTCTTAAATATGAATTGCATAGAAATGCTTCTGGGAATTATCGAAATTTATCAATGATAAAAAAATTTGTGAATAATTCTTTTGTGGAATTCTCATTTAATACTTATAATAATAAATACATATTTTGCATATACCTAGCATTTCACTGGACGCTACACGTAACATATGGCCAATTTGTGCATCTGTTACAGTATTTTCTGGATATACTATTACGCCTGGAAAATCTTTAACTTCGAATGATTCGCATTTTTCGGACGCAAGTTTAGCAGTGTTACTTAATGATCTTAACTTTTTCGTGTGCGTTTCCCATTCTACTTTGTCTATAAATTCTTATGGAAAAAAATATGAAAATTTAGCTATCATGTGTATATGTATACAAAAGTAAAGAGTAATCTGTATAAAGTATTAGAACATATTTTTATTTTGTTCGATTTTACGTGTAATCCTTCACTCTACAATTATTGTCATAAGTTCGAAAAACTATTCAACGAAAAGAATAAAATTAATGTTCAAAAATAAATAGGCAACATTCTGAATATTTTTTAAAAATAAAATTCAAATTGGGAAAATATAAATCGAAGAGTAAATTTCTTTTAAAACGAACCAACTGAATCGTTTGTAGAAAAATGATTTATCTGCCATACTTTATATAGATCATTCTGTATACTTAGTAAATGTTACACAACACAAAAGATGATGAACAAAACACGTAACAAAAATTACAAAGTATGTTTTTCACATTTTTTTTCCCATATGCATACATACTTTTACATGTATGAACTACCATCCCCACGTTAAAACATGATACATACTGCAGTAACAGAGGATAAGACAGTAAATGTATTATTATGCGTTACAACGCTACGTTATAAGCATATACTACATTACTTCTGTATATTTTACCGTTTTCGTAAAATGCGATGTATACCTAAAATACCGATCATTCCCTACATTTTCTTTTTAATTGTAATATAAAATAAGATTCATATCAGTAAGTAACGTTCGAAAATTTGAAATTTACCAACATATAATAAATAGAAGTTTCTGAAAATTATAAATTTTAGAACAACACGTGTTAATAATACATGAAGCACTTAAAAATCTTACTTTTGGATGGGGGTGTATTCAATAGATCATTGTTGTAAAAACAGGGCTTCCCTGATACTAGGACAGCTGCAAAAATGTAAAGCTACTTTAATCCGAAGATTTTGGCGAATAAAATTATATTCCGTACATACTTTCTATACGTTTCAGCAATAAGCCATTATTAATGTAACATTGACCTTCCATTGCTGCCATAAAAAATTTTGCAACCATATCCAAATCAGATTCTATAATCAAATCAATATTTTTATTTACCGTCCACGTAATAATTAGACCGTAATCCTCGACCTAAAAGATACAATGTACTTATACTGTAAAAGTATTATTCTATAACTCGTTTAATTTTAATAGTAATACAAATTTTATATTCAAACTATTCTTAAATTGGAA